TCCCTCGTCTGTGGGGCTGTTTAATGTCGGACGAGGAAGTGGCTTTGCTTTATTTACAGAGCGCAAGAGCATGTCACGTTCATCAGATAATTAATTCATAATTAATTCACCAGATAATTCAGAGAAGAGGCTCACAGCTGCTTTCAGGACTATTTTTTTCAGTCTGATGAGTCGCTGCCACGCATTGCTGCGGATCAGGACACGACTGCAGGCACTCATTTCAGCTAAAGAGCTCCTCTCCGTCTGTTTCAGGTTAGTGGACCTAAACTGTCCCGTCGGGAAATATGTCGCTACGTCACACAGTAACTTCAGCGATTTGCGCCTCAGCGCGTCGAATGCTCAGATCGTTCAAATCGTTCAAATCGCGCTGCTCTAATCGCGCTTGAGGCGCCGCAGCACTTCCCGACGCTGCTTGAAGCGCGTCCACCATAGACTTTGCATGTAAACCTGCTGCTCCTGACGCTGAAATCGCGTTCGGTGTGAACGCACCATTAGTTATAGTATTTTGGATGTTGGATAATGTCTAGTGCCTGTGGACGTCATCTCGACTTGGATCGACTCCAAACATGAATCAATTGTAGAAAAAAGCAGATTTTTATTTGGCATCCTTTTTTTTAGAAGGAAACATTTGGTAGTCAAAAGTTTTCTCTTGCACCCCCCACCCACCCAAATGGTAATCAGTTGTGGATGTACACCCAGTGATTTCTCTCTAAAGGTTTGACTAAAATCCATTCAGTGATTATTTTGCTAACAGTGCAGACAAACACACAGACACAAGCCTTATTGCTCCTCCTTCACTGTCAGAGGCTGGGCGATAAATAGAACTGGTAAATAGTTCTAAAAGGAAAATTAAACTTGAAACCGCTTTACGACACGAACATTCTCGTTGTTTCAGTCGGTAAGTGCTGCGGTGCGAGATTTAATCAGAGTATGAAATGAAGAATAAAAACTGAGTGCAGGGAAGAAATGGGGGAATAGCAGTTTTGCAGATTGGATTGATTTGAAATGATTCACCTCAAATCAGATTTGTATAAATTCTTTGCCGTTCAGCTCCTTTCTGCATGAGAGAGTCCCGTTCAGCTGTGGAAAAGGGGGAGAGTTAAGCTTCACCTCAGGCTCTGTAGAAATGGGACAGAGGCACAGGAGTGGAGATAAGAATGTGGTTAGGTGTGAGGTGATGCACGCAGAGATCCTCTGACAGAAGTGGATGTAAATCCCTAACGGAGCTCGCTCAGTGTCCCGGTGCAGCTGACAGGCCTTTAATAACATCCACTCTCTCTGTCACTGTTTCTGATTTTGTTTCCACTCCTCTTCCTGCTGCTTCTCAGGCCTTCCTCTCTGTACCGCTCTGCTGAATTCTAAGTGCCCGTCTGGTTTGAATTTCCCATCTCTACTCGCAGGATTGCACATAAACCCAATAAAATGTTTTACTTAGGATTCTTCTCTGTTTCACAAAAACCCATCTGTCGTATTTTATTTCGGAGTAGATCTTTGGAAAGGTGTTTGGCAGGAAGAAATGAGGCACAAACAGTCGCAGATTGAACTACGATGAGGTCAAAACAAAATGACAGTTTTTATTTTATTTTTTTTTTGCAATTGCTTTAACCATTTCTGGTGAAATTAAGAATAAGTAAATCAGAAAATAACTGATTAGGCAGCTTTTTACGTAGATGCCAGAGTTTGACGTGATGATTTTGACAGAACATGTTCTCACCCTGGCTGTAGGCTACGTATATGTTTTTTCTCTTAATACTTTCTAAAGTTTAGGTAAAACATCTCTTTTTTTTTTTTACTCGTATAGTATCTGTCAGTGACTGCACAGACTAGTATTAATCTGGTTTGATAGTTTTGTTTATGGTTTGAATGATTTATTATAACTTTATTGTAACTTAGTGTAAGTGGCTTTTGGGTCAAAACTCAGCTGAGATGTATGGTATCATTTTGTGCCAAAACCAATTGAGATGTACTAAAATTCAGATTTTTAAATTTTATTTTTGTATAAAACAAAATAGAAAAGTTGATGTTTAAAAAAACAAAACAAACATTTTAGCTGTGTAAAATGCTGAGTCAGTATTTACACTGTTCTTATTTTATTCCTTTATTTATTTATTTTTGCAAATGGCTTTTGCACACATTGAGCTATTTTGCCTGTTCAGCTCTAATTGGGAATACTGTGTTGTTACTTTTAAGTATTTATGTTTTTTTTACACATACTTTCCATAGTAAAACGTTGATCTATTGAAATCCTGTAAAGCTTTGCTCATTTTAGCTTTTAGGTTTTTTATTTTTCCTGACAATTTTTAGCTTGGAGAAAAGTACATTGTATTATTATTGTTTTATGTAACTTTGTTGTGGTGAATGTAAGAGGTCTCTTGTAAATGAGACAATGAGTCTCAAGAGATCTTCCTGTATAAATAAAGGATAAATAAAAAAAGATAAGTAAAAAACAGTTTTGTTAATTCTAGCTGTTGTTAGCTACAGTTGTGCTTATTTAAGTTAGTTTTGCTAATATTAGCTTCTGTTCTGCTGAGTTAGCTTCTTTAATTTCAGCAAAGCCCTTCAGCACACAGCTTTCATGCCATTTTCACAGAGAATGCAAAGTTATCTAGTTTGATTTTATTTAGTAATAAAATAAAAAAAATAGTGATTTAAAGTTAACTATCTGGCGTTAGCTCATTATTCTTTGTTCATGTATTTTTTCTTGTGAGGCAGCCTGGAACATAGTTTTATAATGGGAGTCAAATTTAACAGAACTTTGCTTTAGTGCACTTTAATCTGATTTACGGTGTGAGTGACCTTAACTCCAACCCTGAACTGCCCTGTTTGACCTCCCATGTGTAGGAGTGGGAGGGAACTTGGTGGCCATCCAGGCGAGCAGGATTTCAACTTACCTGCACTTCTGGAGTGTTCCGGGGCTGCTGCCCAACAAGCTGAGCCAGCACTGGCCCAATCCCTGCGTCACTTTCTTCTCCTCAGGTATGCTAACCCTTCCTGACAAGCCCGTACATGACAGACAGTGGGTTTTTACCAAAGTGCTTCAATTCATACTTTTCTGTACATTCGTTTGTCTACAACACATTTCTTTGGAACAGAAATGCCGTTTTTTAATCTGAAAGAACTGCCCTTAGTGAAATAAAATACTTAAAGAAAACCAATATAAAGATGCATTATGGTAGTATTTAGCAGTGCTTGTTTTTTATACCCAACCCAAAACCCAGTTGTTTTTTTTTTGTGTCTCCCAGGAGTGAACTCCAGGTCAGCCCGGGTGCTACTGATGCTGGTCGTACCGGGCCACCTGGTCTTCCTCTACGCCATCTCTCTGCTGCAGGGAGAGGAGGCTCCCATCACCGTCGCCTTCACCGTCTGCTACCTGTGCGCCGCTCTCCTGCAGGTGAGGCCCTCCAGCCGCCGGCACACGCTCCGCTCGTGTTCCAAGCAGAGGAGATCCTGATTGTTCTTGTCTGAGAGTTTTCTCATGAACTCACTGCCCCTCAGTCCACCCCGAGGGTCCTCACAGTCGGTCTGACACAAACAGCGGAACGTTTCTTTGGACAGATTTTGGGCAGTGTGATGAAAATGGCTGCCTGTTAGCTAACTGTGAAATAACCTGTGCCCAGGCTCGGTGTTTGAGCTGCTCTTTGAGCCAGAAATGTGTTTTGGGTTTTTTATATTTCTGAATTTAAAACAATCTCAGCAGGGGCGGAGCTAGACAAGGGGTGGCCAAGGTGATTTTTAGTGGGGGCACATGCTAAAAAAGACAAGCACTCTGGGTTTGTAAATTCAAGATGGCCGCCACAGATAATTCCAAATGGGTTTAATTTACTTATTTTAAGAAACTTTGAGCTGAAATTTTGTGATCACAGCTAAGAACGAGCCAAAAACATTCAGAATGCTAGTTACGACTTATTATTCAGCTATTTTTAGACACACAAAGCTGAAGATTAGTGGAATAGTAGCCGAAAACAGTCTTAACAAATTCTAAATGCGAATCAAAAATTCAAAATGGCCACCACAGCTAACTAAAATTCCACTACTTAAAGACTTATTCAGATGAAATTAGTTGTGGCGCAGATAAGAATGATTCCATGCTGATTGCCGATGTGAATCCCAAATTAAGCTAACCACTAATGCTAATGGTAATTTTACAAAGGGCAACAATTCAGCCATTTTCGAACATACAGCTAAAAACATATCTAGTACAATAGCATTGAAAAGTAATCTGAAACAACTAAAAAAACCAAGATCCCCACCCACTTGTTAATTGTCTTGGTGGCTAATCAGGTACCAGGGGTGCCACCCCATTTAGCTCTGCCCCTGTATGGTATTTACTCATTGAGCAAATTAAAGGCACAGTGTGTAGGATTTGTTGTTTTCAGCKACATCTAGTGGTTGAATCATCCTCCCTGGTCCTCCCCCCACCCCCACCCCCCGCTTCCAAACACAAAGGAGTTGCTACGGTGTCTCTCAGGTGTCAAAAACCTTTGATAATTCCAACCGCGATGTCTACCAGCAGCTTCAGGGCTAGTGATGTTTCAAGTGGTAAGATTATGAGCTTTAATAAGTAAAATTATCCCAGCTACAATGACAGACAACAAATATTACATTTATAGTATTACACCTAAAACCGTTTTTGACGCCGCCACCGCAGTTTGTCCTTCATGAGCCTTCGTAGACAAGATGGCGGCTGCCTGTAGTGGTGATCCGCGACCATGGAGATATAAACAGCTTTTTATAAGGTAAAAATAATAAAACAAGGTCTTTGTCTGCAATGATTAGACATGTTTTTTTATTATTGTCATTAGTGATTATCTCAATTTCAGCTAAAAGAATTGACAAAATCCTACACACTGTGCCTTTAAAGCATTTGAAGTTTGAATTCATACTTACTGCAATTGTAATTATTTATTTATTTTTCCCTGTTAGGTGGCCATTCTCCTTTATGTTGCCGACCTCATCGTTCGTTTGATGTGGAGACGAAGTCTGGACCCCGATAACTTCTCCATCCCTTACCTGACTGCTCTGGGGGACCTGCTGGGCACCAGTTTCCTGGCCCTCTGTTTCCGCTGCGTCTCATTGGTTCAAAGTTTGGGTCTATGATTTATTTTTTGTCACTTAGCTCTGAACACTTGGTGGTATAGCACCATTTTTCTCCCTTTTTATAGACAAAAAATGCTTTTGATTGGACAATAAAGCATTTTCTGATCTGTAACGTTGGGCCAGCTCATATCAAAGAATCAACCCAAACATCTGCTCTGAAATAAAACAACCGTTTTATCTGAGAGCAGACTTTAAATACTGTCCTTAAGAGCATTCATTACAGAATGCCAACTCTTAGATTACAATCATTCCTCCTTCGTGTCTGCCAAGTCGTTTCTCTGCATTTAGTCTGTGTTTAAATTTGTTAGAGGAATGTGAAGTTAACTTAGTCCTGCAGCAGGACAACACAACAGGAAACCAACTGCTTTATTGCCCTTTGCTCTAAACATTAGTCTGTTGACATTTGTTTGAACTTTGGGATGAAAAAATATTGCAACGTTTGAATAGATTGTTCTGTGCAAATATGCTGGATGACATACAGGTTAAACATTACCAGGAATTTAATAAGTCAGGGGTTATTATGAAGCGGTTTCCACACACATCAGATTACTACATGGAGAGTTTTCCATCTCTTAGAGTTACCTTAATTCACCGGGAGCATGAGGAGAAGTCCACGTTTTAGATGATAAATTATTCTAGATTAAAAGATGAGCAGACTCAGTTAGTGGCACTTGTGGAAAACATTTTCCAGTACTTCAGAAAAACAAAAAATAGAGCCAAACTATATTCACAACTAAGACGGTTTTAATAGAAGGAACTTTGTGACGGCTGTACGTCTAGATTTTTAGTCAGTGCATCAACTCTGGCAACTTATATGTCACATGCCGTAAAATGTAGAGGATGAACTGGTGAGTTGTGCTGTGGCCAGTGCCGCAATCTTTAGAAACTGAGCCAGATGATGACTGACATTTAATGCCATTTTTTAAAATGTATTTTTTTATTTAACAAAACTAAAAAAGGAAGTTGTTTGTAGCATCTGCTGGTTTATTTTTATTTTCGCAATTAGCAATTGATTGGGGGGGGGGGGGGGGTATTTTCCAGGTACATATTTCAGTTTTTTACCACAATCAAGTAACTATGTTACCTTCAATTCAGAAAATGCTGAATATATCAATAATAAACTAGACTTTGCATCATAGTCTCAACACCTCGAAATTGGCCTCTGTCTCTAAGAACCTCCTACCGTTTCAGACACTCCCACTTCAGCAGGTCTGTACAATAATTTTTGGGGGAGGCGAGCTCTGTGGGGTGGGGTTCGGGTAGGGAGGAGCTTTGTGTAAATAGGCGGAGCTTTGTACCAGCAGGTGTTTAGCCAGCTCCACATGTCGACCACGGGAGATTCAAGGATTTCTCAAACATGCATGAATGAGTCGAAGCAACGCTCTGGGTGTGTTTTTGTTGAGGAAATGACGTTATAACATGATATAAAGCTCAAAACATTCTGCAAAACACCCCCCCCCCCCCCTTAAGTATGTAGGCTACAGGTAAGGCTGATTATCTATTTCTTTTGAAGTGGCCAATATGGGCTTAAAAAATTGGTTGGCCAGTTAACTTCTCTGGTAGAATAAGTATTATGGTATTTAGTTCTATAAATAAATCAGTTAAAATAACTGCTTTATGCTTCTGGAAACTGATTTTTTACAAATAAGCCAAGATTATCAGCAGAAGTCTGGTCTGAACTCGTTGAACCTAGCAGCTGTTAGCTCAACTGACCACGAGGAGCAGAAATCAAGCAGTGACGACGGGTTCCTAGGTTTGACACAGTTAGTCCGTGGTTCAAATTTATTACAGGAAAGCACCAGGATTCACACTCAGACACGAAGCTGACGTCTTCGGTTGGGATGAGGTTTCTGGAAAGCGGCGCGCGGGTCTGAAAGGGGCTTCGGTGAAAAAAGTGCTGCTGAAGTATCAGCTGTTTCCTGGGCTGGCTGCAGCGTCCTATTCTGAACACAGATGTGTTCACTGTCCATTTTCTGAAATGTCTCGTTCTTTTTTCCCCTCAGCCTAGAAAATGCACGTCGGTGGAGCTATTTTTCCTCCACGTATTGGTTCCAAAGAAAACCCAAACTCGAGAGGCTTCAGGTCTCTGGTCGTTTTCACTCATTTAACATCACATTGTTGTGCAGAAATTCACAGCCAAACTATTTTTACACTGTTAAACTGCTGTGGACAGCTTCTTACAACAGAATCCTCTTACAAAAGCATATCAGTTATGTGTAAACCATGGTTAGTTTGAATAGAAAAAAAGAAGTTGACCAATTGTAACCAGATAGCAATAACATGCCTTTACTCTTGATAAAAGTGGCATATATATATATTTTTTGACCTGTCTCTATAATTATGTTTCACTTTGGGTTTCTGCTAGTAAAGTAGGCCTGCACATGTAATTAGATCACAGAAAGTAATGGATTTTATTGTATGTGAAATCTGAGGGTTTTTTTTGTTTTGTTTTGTTTTTTAAATAGAGAACTGATAAAAGGTCAAAACATGTAACCAGTGAGGCTCAAGTGTTACCCAGTTAATGTGAAAAACTAAAGATTTACATGAGGTACTTCAGTGTTACTAGTGCTTTGCTACAAGCTTTTACCGTGACACTGTTAGACACTAGAAGGTGAACTCGATGTACTACCGCAGTTTATTGCACCGACGCTCACATGACGTCTGTATGTTACCTGTAATACTGTGAGATAAGGTTGTTGTTTTCTTTTTATCTGCACAAAAATGTGTCTTAATCAGCAGGGTTGAATGATAAAACTTAAGATTTGTATTATTGTGTATTCACCTCTGATTTTGTCTGTCCCAGTCCTAACGAGAATTTGCGGTACTCGTTGGCTTCTGGTAGTCCAAAAAGCCCAATCTTTGTTTATTTTACATTTAAGTCTAATTTCAGCAAAGTGATCAGATTTGATCAATTGATATGCTTTTTGAAATAATGGTTAAGCTAAAGGCCCTGTCACACTGTAAAGTTTTAGACAACTTTTAAAAGGCATTTACGTTGAAGATGGAATAAAAGAAATCAACTGGAAGCCTATTTTAGGCATGTACATACTGTAATGTGAACTAATTGATCAAATATATAACTTTTACTAGTAATTTGGACATAAAACAAATTTTGTAAGTTGGCATAAGTCTAAAACGTTACAATGTGACGGGGCCTTAATGACGGCTGTTACCTCCAGGTATGAAGAGTGAAAGTGTTGTGTACCGTCTGATTCCAAAATATTAAAATGACAACATTATTATTCATAAATGGGCATATATATATTTTTTAGAAAGCAACCATACTATTTGCTTCTTACTTTAGTGGCACCGATTTTTTTTTTTACCAAGCTTGGCAAAAACGTATAAAATGTAAGCTTTTTATTTTAAAACTTAGTTTTATCGTTCAGCCCTGTTTAATAAGAACAAAGAGAACATATCTGACTTGCACATTTGTTTAATCTGTATTTTAAAGTTGCCTTGAAATCTAAATGAATGTTAACTGGCATTACTAAAATCTCATGTGTAAAAGAAAATGTAAATGTTGAAAAAGGTTATTTCGTTCAGCTTCCTGTGGACAAAACTTGTACTGTACTGCAACGTTGACACTGCCACGTTATGAATTCATGGCCTTTTTCAGTGTTCTTTTATTGGTGGTGAGTTCGCCGTCACCTGAGCGTCCACACCTAGAACATGTAATGTCTGAACATGAAAAGTGAACAGTTCTATTTTAATAAAAACTAACGGTGTAATGATGAACTAGTTCATTTCCTGTCATTTTGTTCCATCAGCTAAAACAGGAAGGCTACAGCAGCTATAGTGCTGTATGTTTTGTATTTTACTATTCTTACTAATGTTGGTGGAAGATTATTAAAAAAAAAGCCAGGTTTGCATAATTAGGTTAAAATTTACGAACAAAGAACTTCGGTATTTTACATAACAAATATGCTGTGGTGGGCGCAGTTCCTCTAAAGCACCAATACCGGAAATAATTTTCTGATTAGTGCTTTAGGGCTTTTGCTATTTTCTTGAATTCATTAGTGGATTAGCACTTGCTAAATTTAGAAGCACTAACTAAGGTTTTTAAAGCTGTCACATTTTTGTTCATATGTGTGTCACTTATTCACTGGTGACATATTGGCATTGATTATTGACAATATTTTAGTGCATTAGTGCTTTAGAGTTTGGGGACCTACGTAAATATCTGAGTTAGTGCTTTAGGGCAGTGGTTCCCAAACTTTTTATCTTCTGACCCACAAAATATCCATAGCAAAAACTTGTGACCCCAAATATTACTGGTCTGAGTACATGAACTTTGTTAATAACCCTAAAAACACAGGCTTTTTGACAATCTAAACAGCTTGTACACAAATATAAATACTGATTTATACTTATTTTGTGTTTTTGTAATATTTATAGGGAAAATATTACACCAGCAATTATTTTATTACCCTTTAAATAGATTTCTGGAGATTATCCAAGGTGCTTCATGACCCATAATTGGGTCCCAAGCCCAACTTTGGGAACCAAAGTGCAGTGGTTCCCAAACTTTTCAGCTTTTGACCCACAAAATAACAGCAGCAGAGACCTGTGGCCCCAACTATTTTTGGATGATAAACATTTGTATCAGGTCAACTAAACATGGGCATAGTAACAATATTTTTTATACTACATTTATCCATTTTAAATACACTAACCTCACTCCTTTGTAACAACTAAGGCAAAAATTTAATTAATTCAGGAAATCTTTTCAGGACCCCACCTTGATGTTTCGGGACCCCACTTTGGGTCCCGACCCCAACTTTGGGAAACACTGCTTTAGGGTTAGTGCAACTAATTTTTAGATTAGTGCTGCCCCTTGCAAATATGGTATGGCTCTTGCTGACTTTGCACTTTGGGAGATAGATATAACAAAAAAGGTTTGATTGATTTATTTGAAATGAAGTATTTAAATGAGCAGCTCCTATAAATCAAAGATGACAGATACTTCATCCAGGATGAAAACCTGAAAATCTCAGGAAACTGGTGGCATTCCAGCTCTGCTACTGACTGAGGACAGAAACTTAATGCAGCAAATAGTGAACCCGTTGATGCCAGACTTGGAAACTCCTCAAGTGTCCAAAGTTGAGAGTAATCCCAGCTGTGTAAACACAGTTTTAACAAACGTAACTCCTCTGGATAAGATGTTCCACCTCCCCGAAACCAACGGGAAGACTCTGAGTTGAGCTGAAAGCTCATTTCTCCATATGGTTAAAGATTCAGTGGAGTCATTTTATGTGGTGGATGGCTCCTTTACCCAGACCACCTCCAAATACACAAGCTAAATGTAAAGTCCTACAACCTCAAACATGGACACCAGTATGCAGACTGACTCTGGTTAGCAAAATTATTATTCCCAAAGCTCTGTTTTTGCTTTCACTCATTTATATCAAAATATTTTTCGATTTCCTTTTGGAAAGCTGCATGAAGTTTGTGCTAATCCCCCCCTGATGCAGCCAGACTGCACCAGTTTCCCCCCGTAGTTAACATTTGTAGAATGGAACGGTCGTGTCGAGCGCTAACAAACACACAAACAAATAAAACAACACAAACAAAAGTAGTTGTGTAAAATTCAACATTTCACTTCATTAATCAGGAACACAGTCATGACAGGGAAAAATAACAGTTTTAAAGACAAACAACCTGTTCAAGAATCAAAGTTTCCTTTACTTGACTTCATATCAGGAAGATCCCGTCACAATGTTCACAACGCTAAAAGATTCTTTTTGGTAACAACAGGCCAAAATGTGCTCAAAGTGCAGTTTTTATCATTTCTGTTGAGTGTCCGGCTACTTTATTGTAAAAAACGAACATTTTAATACTCACTCTTTTTCATCCTTTGGTATAAAGATCATTATACAGTGGCATATACAATCTAATTAATGTTACTACCCCAAGCCACATAAACACCTCTGTCTGTTCTTTATACAACGTAAACTGAAAAATAGATACATAACATTTCATTTTAATTATTTTCTATATACCTCCTTTTTTATGTAAACCAACATGCAGTTTCTTTGGGGCGGGACAATATAATCTAAACATAATTTTTTTTCTTTTAATGCAAACATTTCTCTAAATTTGAACATTTTGAAGCAAACATGAAACATGTTTTCTTCCCCTGTGCTAACGTTTAGCTCCACAATGCTAACACAGCCTAGAAGCAAGAAATTAAACATGAAGTGGGTTTTTTTTTTTGTATGTGTGTTTGTGTCTGTGTGTGTGTGTGTGTGTGTGTGTGTGTGTGTGTGTGTGTGTGTGTGTGTGTGTGT